TTTTATTTTCCTTCATAATCTGATTTAGAATAAAAAAATAGTACTGGAATTTAATTCAATAGCAGATAGTCTAAAAATTACACCAAATTGAATTTTCTAAATACATATATTATTGCAACTTTTGGAAAAGAATATTTTTTTTGAATATAACGCATACCTAGATTTAAGTGCAATCAACTCAAAAAAAAATATGGGCGATTTTTTTCCATAAATCAATTTATAGGAATTTTTTTTTTCTTCATGATTATATACATTCACCAAAAAGCTATTTTTATACCTGTTCTGTACTAATTGCGTTAAATCTGTACGATCCACAAGCAATTAAATTTCCCTCTTTGAATTTTTAGTTAGCTCACTTAAGATCTAGATGTGCGATATGATTTTTTGAGCGATTTTCAATAACTCCGAATTACTCCAAAAACTCCGAAACGTTCCGAAAAATATATAATTTACTAAATCATATTAACTCCGACCTGTAATCATAAATTTTAATCAGGATTTCAATGATCATCTGAATATTAGAAATCTCATAGAAAACGGGGCTGATAAAATCAATCTGAAATTTTAGAAAATCGTATGTGATACCTTTTGATGTTTCGAACTCCTAACAAACCGAATAATACTGAAAGAAGTAAGGGCTTTCATTTCAAGGTTACCCGTAGACCTGCATTTATAAGAGAAACTGCGTATTGTTTTTATTCTGAAAAACCTCTGTCTACCAAGGAAATGCCTCTTTCAAACCTGCAAGGAAGTTTGCAAATAAATTTTAAAAGTACAAGTTATTCCGAAGATAGAAACCTACGAATTCCATAAAAACTGTAACTTGTTTCTCTATTTGATATTTCATAAGTTCATAGTTACGGCTTGTATAATCCATAAATATCAAATCTTCTAATTAACATTAAATGCTGCTTTTTGTTCCAAAAAATAGATACTTACAAAACAATAAAAATAATCATAAGTTTAATTATTTTTGGTTCAGCTGAAATTCNTCAGCTGAAATTCGCTGACTTCGGCCGAAGCTGCCTTATTACTTTGAAAAAACTCCGAATCGCTCAGAAACAACCTTCAGATGAAGTAAATTTTAAATTCTTGATTTTGTTTGAAATTTTCTTAACGAATCTAAAAAAATTTATACTTGTTTGTCTGTCCTACAATTTATTATACTCCAAGCAAAACTAAGCTGGGTATTTGGTGCTATGCGGATAGTTTTCGAAGGATTCGCATGGCCGAAGATGAAGAGGTGGTCGTGGAAACCTTTTTTGACGCCGTAGGCGCACTTTTGGGTCAGCAAGCTATAATCGCTGAGACTAAGCCTTGCTCTTTCTTTCGACTAAGTACGATTAAATAAATCCGAAGGAGGGCTAATATGTGGTAGGATCTCTTAGAATATGTTTTGACGCCCATGCCTTCAAACTGCTAAACATGAACGAACGAATAAAATCACCCAGGACGGCGTGCGAGAAAAAAAGTATTTTTTTTTGCAATGATGACATTTTTTCGCCGCCATGTGAATGAAAAGGAACGAAACCATGTGTGTGAATGAAACAACCTATTAAAAAATGACGTCATCAATTATTTGTTTTTTTTTTCTCAAATGCAATTACAAATACGCGGTTGCCGTGCTGGGTGATCTGTTTAGTTGGTTCATGACTGCTAAATTGAGATGGAAACGGTTAGTGCTCCAATTTGATTTGAAGGGTAGTTAGCGTGCTCTAATCACACGATCTCTTCGGAAAATAACCGACACTTCTAGTGTACGTGCTCAGGTGAAAGAGTCTAGGTATCTGTGGCAGTTATCTACTGGTTACGAGCGACGTTAGTCTTTAAAAATTTGGCTAATCCGAAAAGATTTAGTTGTTCCTAATAACATATCGAGCCTTAACCAGCAAAAAAAAAAACAAAAAAAAAGGAAGCGATATATATTTCAAAATTTCTGTCTCTGTGCAGAAATGCTCCTAGAATATCTAATGCTACGTTCACGTTGAGCCATACACTCGAGTTTATGGGCCATTTTGGAGCTTAACACTAAACTCTCCTCTTAAACTTGGAGTTTACCATACAAATATTTTTCGTTTAACTCTCCTTAAACACCACTTTTATTTGGTATTTATGGGAATGCAACCCTTATTCTTAATTTCGCAGAAGAGTGCAAACAAATTGAGCGCACTAGTATAAATTTTGGCCGCACTGTTCCCATTTTACAGGATCTAAGCCGAAATAGTCCGAGGACGTTCAGTACACTTATGTGTAGAATATCAAAATTTTAGCTATGCGAAAATTAAAACAACTTTTTGTGCTGATTTCAACCATACAAAAATTATTTGGCGCAAGTTAATAATAAAGAAGATATCAATGGGTAAAATTAAATTTTTTGATTTTTTAAATATTAATATCTTCTGAACTACATAAAATATAAAGGTAATTAATGGGTATTTGACTTGTTGTACATAATTCTTATATTTTTTATATTTTTAAGCTGGAAATACTTAAAAACAAAAAAATATATAAGAATATTTTTTTTTAATGGCGTTATTTTAAACTTTTTTAAAACGGATTATACTGTATGCAGATAAAAGGTATTTAAAGTATCTTTAAATAAGCATCAGTACTTTTTTAATCGGTCAAGCAGTTTCCGAGATATTATAAATAAAATAAATATAAAAGTTTAACTTTAACCTCTTTTATTGGCTTGGGTTTTTATTTGTTCCAATCAATCTTGGTATGGTTAAAATTAGGATGAAAAGTTCTATCGAGCCACATTTTTGCTAAACGGTTCGTATTCTAGACCACGAATACTTCGATCTATATTTGTCCAAATCCTGCAGTACGGAAACAGTCCAAATGTGAATAATAAAAATCAAACAAACAACTATCAAATTAAACTTTGAGTTTCTTAAACACCCTAATGAGAACATCTGACAGTTCTTCATATACTTAAAACGTTAAAGTCCAGTTTAAGGTTTAACGCTTTTTTGGCTCGATATTATTATGCGAAATATTGCAGTATTAAATTTCTTATATTTTTCTATCCTAAAATGTATTTTTAATCCGAAAAACTCCGAATCATTTCGAAATTTTGCACCACATGTTTATCGTGTAAAATTTTTGGAAATAGTGAAATCTTCGTATCATTCCGAAAATTCAACGAGTTTTTGTTGCTCCGAAAATTTTCACATTACTCCGAAAAATTACAAATTACTCCGTAAATGTTCCAAAGTCGCACAAATAATTAAGTCTTAATGTATACCTAACGCGCGTATCTTCTTTCGGACAAAAAACTGTACACTACTGCGAAAAATTTCGGTTCGCAGTAACTCTGTTTAAAAAGAACGCATTTTTTTAAAGTAAAGTATTTTTTAGACAATTTTTCACGTTTTTACAAAATGTCGTTAATTTTTTAATCTTTTTATTAGTTTAGATTGCAAACCTCATTTGTGAAGCTAGTTAAGTTATACCCATTGGTCCTGTGCGCTTTAAATAACCTTGTAATGACTTATGTAGATAAGTATAAACATGTATGTAATTACTCATACGCACGGTTGACACGCAAGTTAAATTTTCTTATTGATCATCAGACGCTAAACGCTAACGAAAAAACCTATCGCCCTCATGCTGAAGGTGTTCTTATGTATATTCCGGAACATTGGCAAAGCCATGCAAAGCTTCCACTTACTAACCAAGACAATTGAACAATTGAAGACATGCGACCAGGGGCGCACCCAGGAATATATTTATATATTTTAGGGGGGGTTTTATATTTCTAAATATATATCACCGGAAAATACTGAAAATTTGCTTCAGATAATACGCTCTTTAAAATACATACATGCAAGTTTTATGTACAGTATGTAATAAATAAATAAACGTTTTAAAATCCACAAACTGCACTTTATTTACATAAGATTAACGGAACTCAAACACTTTTAACCAACTTCAAAAAAAAAGGAGGTTATCAATACGCCGGAATACATAATTTTTGACCACGTGAACCGATTTCAATAATCCTTTTTTTATTGGAAAGATGGTACCTCAAGGGTCATCCCGTAATTTGGTTTAGAGATCCGATGGTTGGATTGGATTGGATCATGTTGAATTTGAAGTCGGTTGTGTTCTTTCCTTAAAAACTACTTGTTTAATAAAAAGTTCTATAAACTCAAGATGCGCTCAACTTTTAAAAGTACCTAATAAAAAGTTTTAAAAGAGTCAGTAAAAATAAATTTATTGATTCCATAAATTTTTGCACTTTTATGTTCATTTTTTCGATTTCTGGTTTCTGGTTTTCGATAGAGATGGTGAGTTTTCACGATTGCTAGATTTTTCTAATATTTCGAACACCGAAAAAATTAACTGAACTCTCAAGAAAAACGAAAAATTCATATAAAACGACGGACGAGAAATGGAAAAGAAATTTTCTTCTACCAAAATTTCTTAAATCAGTTTGCAGCTCTCAAGAAAAAAATGCTCGTATATTCATTTCCTCATGAAAATTTACAGCAAAAGCAAAGCGCTTTTTCAAGCAACAGAAATTATAATAAATATTTCTTATAATTTCCTTGAGAGCTGGATTCTTAGCTTTAAGATACAGTTTGTATTTGAGGTTATTAGCTTTAGGGGGGTTTGAACCCCAAAACCCACCCCTTGTGTGCGCTAATGCATGCGACTATCTAAATATTTACACATTCTTAATGACAATGACAAACGTCTATTATACTTTTCACATACTAAGTGCTTAATTAAAGAAAATAGCCTACTAGTAGGCCTAGGTTATAAAAAGACCGTCANAAATATTTACACATTCTTAATGACAATGACAAACGTCTATTATACTTTTCGCATACTAAGTGCTTAATTAAAGAAAATAGCCTACTAGTAGGCCTAGGTTATAAAAAGACCGTCACGGCATCTCCGCGCTGACATTAAGTTCACTCGTCCACTGCGGTCAATTGTGATATTGTGCGCATCAAAGGGAACTGAAAAAATAAATAAATAAATAAAAAATGTTGCTGCTGTCACCTGCAGTCAACTACTGGACTACGCTACTCAATTTCATAAGTAAATTTGCATTTTTTAAATCAATTCGTTTTTATTTATATTTTATTAATAGATAAGTACTACTGCGCTCTGCCTCTTATTTCTCACTTATATCTTCAGTACAAAAGTATTTTATTGACTCCCATGCCACCTGTATCCTGTGGCATCGCGATTTTCCATTTGAATTGAAAACACCAGCCGATAGCGAATTCATACAATACGTCAATATTTGGCCTGACAATTTGTCACAATCCTTGCAGCAGGACATTTACAATTTCACCGCTTTTGTCGAAATCCAGCGCGGCTATGGCATGGAACTCGATGCCTTGGTACAGAAATTGACTATAGCCATCAGGGAAACGCATTGTGAGGTGAGTTGCGTAATTAATCGTGGTGTACATGTGTGTGTGTTTGTGTGCGTGTGTGTGGCGGTTGATCGAGCGCCCGGTCGGTCGTAAGCAAAATCAGAGTCTCATTTTGCATTTTAATTTAATTACGCATGAATTTTAATTACCATTTTTACACTTTCCCACACTCATTGCTGTATGCTGAATCAATTTACCATGCCGACCCTGCCGTAGTCTTTCGTCGCATTTCAAGAGGACATACCAGTCTTTACGCGTAGTTTCTACAACGCCAGCAGAATATCGGTATGGCGTTCGTTACGCAATAAATTTCTATTTGTCTACCGCAAGGACTTACTGCTGGACACTGATACTTCGGTATACTTCGACGACTTTCTTTTCATAGGTAAAACATATAACTTATTCACCTACTCACGTACATATATTCCCGTTGCACATTTATCAATGTGGGCTGTCAAATACACATACATAGACATTTGTATATTTATGTATGGAAGTACTGTAAACACTTTACTGACATTTCATTTTAATTACAGATCAACCAAATATTTTAATAGTCGAAGCTGAGTGTGGCAATTGCTCAATGTTTGCATTGAAAACTAATAAATTCGTTGGCCCTCTGGCTGAGCATCCGGAACAGCTGTACATATTGGATCGTTACAACGCTACAAACGGCACATTTGAGTTTGGCGTTGATTTGTATATGGACAAAATAAAAGATTTGCAGGGACGTGAGGTGACAGCTGGTGTTTTCGATTATCGTCCCTTTTCCGTGGTAGATTTTGTGAGTTAATTTGACTTTATTACGCTATTCAACGCTTAATTATACAAGTGGCGGGATGAAATGAAAAAACTTTTTGAAATGAAGAGCTCTTAGTTGGCAGGTTAAATTACTTTGAAAACGTCTAAGATAACTAACAAAGTAAGAAAATAGCGTTGAATTCAAATTTTGGATGAATCCGAAAGTTACCGAAAAACTCCGGAATTTTGTGAAAAACTCAGAATTACTCCGAATTTTATTTAATGCGTCAAATACGCAATAGTGAAATAACTCTTCGTCGGCTGGAGAAAATCTGAAATACTTTGAAAAGATCTAAGATTACTGGAAAAAAAGAAATTAGCTTTAGATATAGGATTTTTAT